CTCACGGAGCACAAAAATGTTGTAAATTGACGCCAATTCTTGAATAATCGTCCGACTGTTGTGCTTCCGGTCTTCAAATACGCAGAATGACCTAATGCACCAATCACACGCCACTGCGCATACGCAGTGACCTTATTTGTTAACTGCGCTGCGCATTCAATTTTATGAGAGGGGCGTACATCTCACTTGAAATACAGGACTACGGCACGTCTCACTGTGCAAACATACACCAGCTATCGTGGATTTCCACAGAACGAAATTCAATGGGTTTAATTGGATAATCTGGGCGTGAAACAAAGAGTTTATTGGCTTATATTGCGTCCTCTCCTTTTTTTAGCTCCATGGTAGCGGCTAGTCAAATTTGTGAAATTAGCACCTCTTTGTTTGTAAGTAAATACTTTCTGCGATAGACAGTCTTTAGATTGAAGGCTAAAAATTTTTCAAAATCAATTCCACCTCGATATAACATGGTCAAAGCGGAGTTCACGATCAGTTCACGCTACTCAAGAAAAAACAACGTGTTTATTGCGTGATTTGGTAAAATACATTTGAACTGTTATCATTGCGAATCATGTAAAAACTTTCTTTCAAGACCTATTTTACCTTTTAAAAATTGCAAATCACCTCTTTCGAAAGCCATCATGCAGTTTTCAATTGAAATCGATGCCAACACATGTGCTACGTCATCGCTTTATTTCCGCAATGTAATTTTTATGATCACTACCCCTCGGAAAACTTCGGATTCTACCGGCATTTTGATTGGTCAATGGCATTCTTGACCCATCGGGTCAAAGGACACATGCTAATGTTTCACAAACATCATGGCGGGTCTGTTTTTTTTTTACCGAAGCGATCAAGTGATCAAAAATAATCGCTCCCGATAAAATAAGTCGGTTTTTAAAAAAGAAGTAACAATTTTTTGAGGAATTATTGCTATAATCGGTGTATAACATGGCCAAGTAAGTTATGTCACGTCGTAACTTTGATGATCGTTTTGAAGCTTTATTTGTTCGCTCATTACTGTAATTGTAAACGTTTTAGAAGTTGATGGTACGAATAATAAATTACAACAATACGTCAATTAATTACGTGATCGATTTTTTGAAGGAGAATGTTTTTGGAGTGAATAAAATTATGAGATTCGTGAACATAAATCTGGCTTAACGTTTTGAATGCGTTTCCTTCAACGTTTTACAAAACAATTAAATTGCAACAATAATGTATTTGTGTTTGTTTTTAGTCTGCAGCATTTGTATTTCGAGAATGTTTCAAACTCTTCTAAATTGTGAAACATAATGTGTTGATTCCATTAAAAAAAATATTTGCCCTGTGACTGAGCTCACTAATATTCATAATTGTAAATAAGTTCTGTTAATCAATGAAGGAAAGATATGTAAATGATATGCAAATTATTATGCAAATTAGCCCCGGCGCTATGCATTTTTTCTGGGGAGAACCCTGCTTTCATTACCGGGAAAATTTACCTCAAAGTGGAAGCAACTTTTCATCAGCAATGACTTTAAACCCCCCTTGTTTTTTTTGCTTGGCTGATTTTGTTCATACTTGATAGGTAGGTCGTATCGTCACTAATTGGAAAAAAATCCTGGCCCACCACTGTCATTGCAACAGCCAAAAACTGATTTTTGAATACTTTCGCCCCAAATTTATTACCTCCTACCAGTTTTGTAATTATAGCCGTGTTCAAATGATCATGTTTTTATTTTGGCTACGTTGCACACTGGTAAGAGATCACAGGCACCGACATTGTAACACTGTATCAACGTAATCCCAACGCAACTTTGAACTTTGAGTGAACTGTAAATACTGCCTTCAGTCTAGAAAATACTATCGCAAAACGGTTGGAAATAATAAATTTAACAGCAGAATACGTCCTAGCAATAAAATATAGTGACTTCTAAAGACTGAGTGTTTTTTGGCGAACTTCGTATATGGTGCCCGGTGCCTACCGTGGCAACAGCCGAAAACATGTTGCTTGTTTTTTGTGCGAAGCCGATCGCCAACTCGCCCATCGGCTTGTTTTAGTATAAGCTAGTTCAAATTACTAAACAAAGTATAGGACGACGAAGCTTAGATATCCTTGAACCAACACATACCAAAAATGATATCTCAAAAATGAATATTCGTGGTGTATTTTAAGTCTAACCGGACCATAAGTTGGAATTCGTTAGTACTCTAAATATCCAAATATATTTTAGTATAAGGTAGTAATAAAACCTCATTCTATATAAGAGTATAATGTTAATTGCTTTAATTTGCAAAGAAAAAATTTCTCTTGTGTTTTACGACACAGTGTCAATGACAAGTTTTGTCTTCACAAATACCATAAAATCTTGAAATTGCAAGCATTTCCAGTAGTGAAAATTGATTTACAGTATAATAATTACTACCATACTGTTCTCAGAACAATGTTTACAATGTACCAGTACATAAACAAAAAAGCAAAACTTCAAAATGTGGTTGCATTGCAACAGTGCGTATCCCAAAGTATTAAACCATGATGCATGCAATTAAACATCAGTTAAAATTTAGAAGTACCAAAAAATACACATTTATAACTGATTTTGAAAGTAATCAAATTTCTAAACTTGGTCGAATAATAGCATAGCCAAATTTTTAGTGTGATAAACTATATTTAATCTTTGAATTTCAGAGAATGTGTTTATTTGTATCATTTTGTACTGATTTAGTCTTTTGATTTGAATTTATTGCAGGATGAAGTAACATTCAAGCGTTCAAGTTCCAGGTCACGATCAAAGTCTCCCTCTCGTAAATCACCATCTCGGAAATCTTCTGGACGTCCACGATCTAGATCTTCAGCAAGGCGAAAGGCTTCACCATCACCAAACCGGCGAAAGGCTTCACCATCGCCAAACAGGCGAAAGGCTTCACCATCGCCAAACAGGCGACCAAGCACTAGTCCCAGAAGAGGTCGTTCCCGTAAGAAAGAGGCACCTGTCACATCAACACCAAAGTCCACAGTTACAAAGGTACTATAAACCTAATAACTAACACAAATATCCTGTTACAGCTCAAATTATGATATTTATAAAGCAGAATGCATCCTTATGACTCCAAACTCATAGAGTACATATTAGCACAAGGTTTTGATAGGTTTTACAGGACTTGCCCAGGCTTGAACTTCAGGGAGTCATAGACAACAATTGCCTTGATGCCCAGTTAATTTGTCAGCAAGCTTTTTGATATTCACTATATTAAGGATGTAGTAGACTTAATCAATCACTATTTTATACATTTTCTGTTTATTATCTAGTTTGGTGGCATTTGTCTATCTGTTTGCAATGAATGTGTATATCACAAAATGGTTTAATTTTTTGTCTATAAAAGTATGAATGCCACTACAGTTTTATTAAACTGCCCGTATTCAGTTGGTGTAAGAATGGGAACAAAATGTAAAGAATATTTATTGTTATTTATAATACTATACTATTGTGCTACTTCATTAATCACTAGACTGTACACACTGAAATAATAAAGACCTATGCCACGCGATCAGCCACAAAAAAAGGAGAGAAGACATTGGAACTTCCATTAGACATGCACCTTGGAAAGGTGCCGAAAACTACAGAAGAAGCCTATTCGGGTACAGTAGGTAGGTTGTTGATAACAGTTCAATTTACTATTACTTTTTACTTGATAATGATTTTAGATTTTAGCATTTTATAGATTATGATTTCAAACAATACATCACTGAAAGTTCATAAAAGATATACGAGTAAATGCTAGGTGAAAAAAAAATAATAGCAATACTACCTGACAGTCGAGGCAACTGATGTTGCATTGATATCTGTGATGAACTCTAGTCTTGAATAAAAAAAGTTCAAAACAGTTTTGTAAAATGACTGCTAGTGGTCACAATATCCTATGATATGCTCAGTGCTGCTTTTGTTGACTAGGTTTTTTTTGTTTTCTCTTATAGGCTGTATCATCTCGATTGTGTTCTTTGTCGCTGTTGTTTTTTATCCTTACCTCATATGCACACAAGAATCCTGTGCATTTTTTAAAAGACCTGTACTACCCAATAATCTTGCTAGTTATTTTGACCAAGAAGTAACTATTTTGTATCTTGGCTTTCTTGGAGTTATGGTTGTACTAAATCTTCTACCGATTGGTCTGGTAAGTACCTGTGTATGTCCACGGATCTTAGCATGTTTGTGTAATAAACCCTTTTCTGTTCATTGCAAGATCTTGTGTTATGCGTTAAATGAAATGTTAAAAACAGGACAAACAAGGGTCATAACCTTGTAGTGGAGTCAAAACATCACAGGTATTTGACAAACATGAAACTGTTTTCAGGGCATTTCCATGCTTAATGTTGTGCTATGCATAATGGTCAATTTTGATGAAGTAATGCTATCTCATGAATATAGGTGTCTTTATGGAAATGGAATCCACAGTGTCCGAATTGAAGCATTGTATGATAAATCATAGAGTAATACTTTGTTTTATTATCTTCTATTGCAGACATTTGAGGGACCACGAACTAGATCTGGGCAAAGAATGAAATACAGGCAGAATGGTATGTATTTTGTTGATATGGCTTGTACTAACTGCTTGTAATAATATGCCTGTGTGTGTCTCTTCCCAACCAGAATTTGTGCATATCTACTAATATTTGATGGCTAGTCCAGTGCAACTGCACATAAAAATTATACCCAAACTGCTGTATTTGTAGTTCATTCATCTAGTCCAAGAGAGAGAAAAATGTGTGGTTCCTGTAACCCCACCTACCCTATTTTTACTGCACAACCCTAAATGTTTTTTGTGACCATATTAAATAGAAAAATAAAAAAAAAATCCTACCTAGTTGTATTTTGTAAAGCATTTTATCACATGTAATAACACCCGTGTGATATTTTTGGTATTACACACTTTGAAAGTGACGTCACACTTTAAGTCTGTGATGTGATTGGCCAATACAGCTAATTTCACCTTTGACCTAATCAGTAAAGTTAGCGCTGAATTATGCAACACTTATGATGAGGCAGATTTTAATGACAAATTATGTAGAAATTATTACATATTATACTTATTAGATTTTTAGATTCTATATAATCTCTGATTTTATCGCTGTTGAATAAACAAAATATTAAAGATATTAATCACAGTCTCAATTCTCCCAACCCGAAAATAGTTCGGGCATGATAATGTTTCGTCTGCTGTCAATCGTACAAATTTGCATCTCAAAGTAAACAAACCTTCAGCTGACGGCGCCGAGGCCGGGCATTCACGACCATGTAGATTTGTGCCAGTCACCGATGACGATGTCAGAAGAACAATCGAAACTCAACAAAACAAAAACACAACCAAGAAAACTCTATATGATATGAGATTACTGGGCAAATTTTTGAAGACACTAGAAATAAACGAAGCTAGAGAAATCCACGAAATCCCTCCAAATGAACTGGAAACAATTCTATGCAAATTTTTTATCAGTGTCCGTAAACCAAGCGGTGATGACTACGAGCCTACTTCCTTACGATCTATGCTTTCTAGCCTTGAACGTCACCTGAAACGACACAAATACATGTATTCACTGATCAGTAGTATTGAGTTTAATGAGGTGCGGGAAACAATAAAAGCAAAACAGAAGAAATTAAAGAAAGATGGTAAGGGCAACCTACCGCGAACAGCTGAGGCGGCTACAGATGAGGAAATCGAAATTCTGTGGGAATCGGGACAGTTTGGGTCCCACAGTCCTGAAGCCATAATAAATACTATGTGGTTTTATAACACAGTACATTTTGGTCTGAGGGGTAATACCGAGCACAATAACATGTGTGGGGAGATGTGTACTGATAGTAGCGGTCGTGAATATC